GGTTTTCTATGCTACATATTAGATATACAAATTTCTTTTGTTCCGGAACTCACAATGAAATTTGATCTGGAATAATTCTTCTTTTAACACTTTACCCCAAAAATGAAGTTTTAAGTGAGATTTTGACTTTGAATGGAAATGTGTTAAATTAGCATTAAAAATCAAAGCTATAATTTTAATCGTAATATGTATGAATTTGTAATTTTCGAATGTAATTTTCTTAGAAACTGTTATGTTTAGCTATATAGTTTCTTCAGAGATCTATAGCGAAATTTTATGTAGAATATTTCCTCCTTTAACATTTCTCCCAAAAAATGAAGTATTGAGGGAGATATTGACCTAGAATTGAAATTTGTTTAGTTAGCAGTAAAAACGTAAACACACAATTTTTACTTGTAATATATATGAATTTCGAATGCAATATTTTTGAAAACTGTTATCCCTAACTTCATAGTTTATTCTGAGATCTATAGTGAAATTTTGTGTAGAATATTTCCTCTTTTAACATTTCTTCCAAAAATTGAAGTACTAAGGATGATTTTGGCATAGTTTGGAAATGTGTTTTGTTAGCAATAAAAATGTAAACACACAATTTTCACTTGTAATATATATGCACTTCGAATGCAATTTTCTTGGAAACTGTTATCCCTAGCTACATAGTTTATTCTAAGATCTATAGTAAAATTTGGTTTAGAATATTTCTCCCTTTAACAGTTTTCCCAAAAAATTAAGTTCTGAAGGAGGTTTTGACCTCGAATGGAAACCTATAATATTAAACGGCAAAAAGTTAAACACATAATTTTCACTTGTAATTTATATGAATTTTGAATTCAATTTTCATAAAAACTGTTATACCTAGGCATTTAATTTATTCAGAGATTGATAACGAAATGTTGTTTAGAATATTTCCTCCTTTATCAGTTTCCCCAAAAAATTAAGTTCTGAGGGAGATTTTGACCTCGAATGGAAACATATAATATTAAAAGGCAAAAAGGTAAACACATAACTTTCATTTGTAATATTCATGAAGTTCGAATGTAATTTTCTTAAAAACTGTTATACATAGACATATAATCTGTTCTGAGATTTGTGATGAAATTTTGTGTAGAATATTTCTTCCTTTAACACTTTCCCCAAAAAAATTAAGTAATGAGGGAGGTTTTGACCTAGAATGGAAACCTATAATATTAAACGGCAAAAAGTTAAACACATAATTTTCACTTGAAATATATATGAATTTAGAATGTAATTTTCTTGAAAACTGTTATATCTAGGCATTTGATTTATTCAGAGATTGATACAGAAATTTTGTTTAGAATATTTCCTCCTTTAACAGTTTCCCCAAAATATGAGGTATTGAGGGAGATTTTGTCTCATATTTGAAAAGTAATGAATGAACAGGAAAAGAAAGACACATAACTTTCCCCTGTAATAAATATGAATTTCGAATATAATTTTCTCAAAAACTGTTAAGCCTAGATATATGGTATATTCTGAGATTTTTTGCAAAATTTTATATAGAATATTTCTTCTTTTGACACTTTTCCCAAAAAAATAGAATTATAAAGCAGGATTTTGACTTTGAATGAAAACATGTTAAGTTAGCAGAAAAAGCGTTAACACATAATTTTTACTTGTAACATATATGAATTTCGAATGCAATTTTTTTGGAAACCGTTATCCCTAGCTTCATAGTTTATTCTGAGATTTATAATAAAATTTTGTGTAAATATTTCCTACTTTAACACTTTTCCCAAAAAATTAAGTTTTGATAGAGATTTTGACTTGAAATGGCAACGACTTAACTTAGCAGTGAAAAACCAAAACATAATATTCACTTGTAACATATGTGATTTTCGAATGTAAATTTTTTGAAAGCTATTATACTTAGCCTCGTAGTTTAGTCTGAGATTTATAGTGAAATTTTGTGTAGAATATATCTTCCTTTGACTCTTTTTACCTAAAATGAAATTTTATGTTACTTTCGGGCAGCAACTCACAAAAGGCCATGGTAAAATTGGTCGAAAAATGAAATTTTTTCGCGTTTTTTTTTGTGTGTCAACATTGATTTCAATATTTTCTTGATTTACGATGAAAATAGATATTTCTTTCCTTTGGTGACCTGTAGTGAAATTTTCTGAAGAATAGTTTTGTCTTTGACGTCATCCTTGTAAAATGCTGCTATCTGGGAGAATTTTCCACAAACTCTGAACTGTGGAACTGTGAACTGTGGCTTTAACCCTAAAATGTGTTTTTTATATTTATGAATTCCTGGCATTTAGCTAAGATTTAGACTTTTGATGTCTTCTGGAACCTATACTAAAATTTTATGAAAAATTATTTTGTAGACTATTTTGACAAGCTATTATTCAGTTTAAGGGTAGTTTTTAGCCTTTTTTGAAAAGGGCCCAAAAAAATTTTTGCAATTATTTTCGCGTTTTTTGTGGCAACATTGATTCAAATATTTTCTTGATTTACAATAAAAAATTAGCTTTTCTTTCTTTGGTGACTTGTAGTGAAATTTGCTGAAGAATATTTTTGTCTTTGATGTCATCCTTCTAAACTAATGCTTTGAAAGAGAATTTTTCACAAACTCACATGATCTGCGGCTTTAACCCTAAAATGTTTCTTTATGTTTATGAATTCCTGGCATTTAGCCAAGATTTAGACTTTTGATGTCTTCTCGGACCCATAGTAAAATTTTATGACAAATAATTTTGTAGAATATTTTGAGTCTTTACGATCTCGTTTAAAGGGAGTTTTTAGCCTTTTTTGAAAAGGGGCCAAAAAAAAATTGAAATTATTTTCGCGTTTTTTGTGACAACATTTATTTCAATATTTTCTTGATTTACAATAAAAATAGAGATTTTCTTTCTTTGGTGAACTGTAGTGACATTTGCTGAAGAATATTTTTGTCTCCAACGACATCCTTCTAAAATAATGTTTTGTGGGAGAATTTCCCACAAACTCACATGAGCTAAGGCTTTAACCCTAAAATGTGTATTTTTAAATTTATGAATTTCTAACGTTTAACAAAGTTGTAGACCCATAGTAGAATTTTATGACAAATAATTTTGTAGAATATTTTGATTAGTTATTATTCCGTTTAAGGGGAGTTTTTAGCATTTTTTTGAAAAAAGACCAAAAAAAAATTTGCAATTATTTTCGCGTTTTTTGTGGCAACATTGATTTAAGTATTTTCTTGATTTACAATGAAAATAGAGATTTTCTTTGTGATGTGACCTATAGTGAAATTTGCTGAAGAATATTTTTGTCTTGGACGTCATCTTTCTAAAATAATTCTTTATAGGAGAATTTCCCACAAACTCACATTCAGTACATCCTAAACCCTAAAAAGTGTATTTTTTAATTTATGAATTCCTGGCGTTTAGCTAAGTTATAGACTTTTGAGGTCTTCTCGGACCTATAGTAGAATTTTATGACAAATAATTTTGTAGAATATTTTGACTATCTACGATCTCGTTTAAAGGGAGTTTTTAAGCTCACTTTAGAAAAAGGACCAAAAAGACCCATATGTTGGCTCGTTTGAGGGTTAAAATATTCTATGAAAATAATCCTCGAAGTTTTATCTGTAATATTGCCAAAGACACCATATACCTAAAATGCAGTGATTCCAAGAAATCTTTATTCGAAAATGTTGAAAAAATGTGGAAGAGGGTAAAATAGCCCCCTCAGTTGCGGTTACGGCAATACACATGTCTCTTATTTTTAACTCTATTTCCAGAATCTCCAGAAGTTTTTATCTTATTTTTATTTATTAATTTGAAATCATTTGTTGATTTAATTTATTTAAAATAATTTATTAATTTATTTGAATTAATTAATTTTCAATTAAATTTTTGTCCCCCAGTGTTATTTTCCAGTGTTACAACCGCATGCCAATGTCCATGAGACCGTTTTTCCGGACAAACATGGATTAAACAAAACAAACTTGCCACGCATTTGAGATGGCGGTGATCCTGGGGGTTGTTGGCAGGCAGCACACAAAGGACCCCCTTTCACCCACACAATCTGAGAAGCCAGGCCAGACCAGAAGAGAATTGTTTCATTTATCAAATGTTTAGTTAGTTAGCGGTGAGCAGTAAACGGTGGTGGTTGTTTTTTTTTTTTTCTGGTTTTGGAAAAAAATGTAAGAGAACTAAAAAAATACAATTTGCGCTAAAAATTAAAAATAAAAATTCTTATAAAATAAAATAATATATTTTTTAAATAAAAAAAATATTTTTTAATATTAATTTGATGTGCATAATTCCGTTTTTTTTTTTTTTTTGAATGTTGTCTAAGAAATTTCTCAAGTGATTTGTGTGTGTTTTTTTTTTCATCTCCGTTAAGAAGGCCATTTTTTCGCAACTGTCAGTGGTTTTCGTTTTGACATTTTTAATTATAAACGGCGTTGGCGTTGACGGCGGCGGCGCCGTCATCATTTGGCGACAGTGTCATATTATTTGGTCCCGTTCCTTTGCATTGCAGGCCCGTTCTTCTTTTGGCTTGGCAATGTGAAATAGTAGATTGGTCTCTTTTCTGGCGTTGAACCCCAACAAGGACATAAGGCCAAGGAGAAACTGGAGAACAAGCAGAAGAAGAAGAAGCAGACAACAAACAAACCGAAACCAAACAGCAGAAGCAGCAGAGCAGCAACAACAACAACAACAACAACAAAAATCAATAACCACCGTTGTAGAGTTGTTACACAGTGACCAAACGTAGTAGTAAATCACACAACACACACACACATACACTCTCCCACTCATAAAGGCATTCAGCAAGAAAATAATTGTTGTCATTCTCTGTTTGCTGGAGTTGGTGTTGTGAGAGGGAGAGTGAGAGAGCTCTCCAATGTAATATTAATTCTGATGAGAGTCCTTTGTGTTGTTTGTTTGAAATGATATGGTATGCTGTGTGTGTGAATTAGGCTCTCTTACTTTCTCTCTCTCTCTCTCTCTATACACATTTCTCCCTTGCACTTGCCTAACAGTGCTGTTAATGATTCTTATTGTTGTTCTTTGCTGAGTTGTGTCTGTACTTGCTCTGTGTAAATGGAAAGTAACGAGTAATGGAGACTTTGGCCATGCCAGTTGCTGCAGCAACTCTTCGCCAATTGGACTTATTAGAATTTCAATCATTGCGCCGTAACGGACAAGGCTGCGGATGCCTTAAAACGGTGGCTTTTGAAGGCAGAGATAGAAAGGATAAATAAAATAAGAATGAAAGAAAATTTGGTGCTCTGAGTGAGTGAATGAGTGTGTGTTTGTGGAAAAAAAGGCAAATTAAAATTTTATTTCCAGTTCCAACAAAAAAATACCAGGCAAACACGCGTCGTGTAATTTGTAAAAAATAATTTAAAAAAATTGAAAATTTAAACAAAAATTCCAATAATTAAGAATAAAAAAGGAAAACCAAAAAAGAAAAGAAAAGCGAAAAAATTTTTATGTACCATTGTTTGTGAATATTCTTCAAAACAGAAATAAAGATAGAAAAAAAAAAGAATGAATTGAAAAGGAAAAATCCTAACTTGAAATAAATAAAAGTGGAGTTAAAACAAAATCCCAATCAACAAACCAAGGAGAAAAACCATTCAAAACTTTTATGGTAAAATAAATAAATAAATGTTTGGAAAATTGAAAACCATTTTTTTGGCTGCAGAAAATAATTATATTTTTTACTCACACACACATACGCATTTGGAAAATACAACTACTACAATAAAAATATCCTTGCTTGTGCTTATCCCTCTTGCACACAAGCACTACAAGGATATACGTGTGTGTGTGTGATACACACACACACATCCAGCTACATTGATAAATCCTTGATAGTACTTTTCCTACATACATATATACACATATATTTTACTTGCTCCAATAAAAAAAATAATACGACTGTATCATCGTTGGGTGTTAAGCTGAAGGCCGGAAGAGAGGAGGTTGTGGGGAGAAGACAGGGCTTTCTATGCTTTTTGTGAAAAACTCCTAAAAAATATATGGAGAAGAAGAAGAGCCATAACTAAACATTGGATTTATTTCAGAGTTAGAATATATTTTTTTCGCTCTCTCTCTTTCTCGTTTTCTCCCTTTTGCGTGCTCATTGACTGTTGCTCTCCATAAAATACTTAACGGCCATTATAGATCAGAGTTGCCAAATAACAATAATGGATAATATGGTGAGGTTTCAAAAGTCGAAATGGTGTGAAGTGCACATTGAAGATGCAAATTAAGGAATTTGAAGAAAAATTAAAAAAGAAACAAATTAGAAAATATAAGTCGGTTTGCCGATAGACCAGAGGTGAGCAAAACAGATGATTTCAGGGAAAACAACCACGCATTTTGTTATCCAAAATAATTCCGATTTTTGTTGGCAAAAAATATAAAAAAATATTCCTAAAAAATACACAACTAGTAAATCCTAAAAAAATAATTTTTAGAAATCCAATATTTGTTTTTATTAAAGACATTGATAAATTAAAGACAAAAATCAAAAATATTCCTAAAAAATACACAACCAGTAAATCAAAAAAAAAAAAAAAAAAAATATATATATCTTTAGAAATCGAATATTATTTTTTATTAAAGACTGATAAAAAATATATTTTCAAAAAATCGAATTTTAAAATATATATTCTAAAATCTATAATTTATCTGGAACCAAAACGCTATGGTAAAATATAAAAAAACAATTTTTGACCAGTACGTCTGTAAACCAGAGTAGACACCCCACCTTCCGGATCTGAAATTCTTGCTCGAAGAACAAAATTATGAGAAGGAAAAACAATCGCTTCGTTCGGGTGTACTTTCACATGTAATTTTATTTAAAAACCAGTAAAGAAAGTCCTAAAGTCGGGCGGGGTCGATTTTATGTTACCCTACACCACTTTGCTAATTTAGTTGAGCTCCACATAACTATTAAAAGTTTTTATGGGAGAATTCAATCATACACCCTATGATCATAATTATAATTTAAAATTCAAAGGACTAAATATACCAAGGCATTTGTATCTTTTAAATTCGGACTTGTATTGCTCATTTGGTGCACAATTAATTTGAAATCGGATAAGGATATATATGGGAGCTATATTCAAATCGGAACCGATCTCGATAAAATTTGGCAAAGATATTTCTGAGCTGTATTTGATATATTTCCCTGACTATATCTGAACCGATCTTCACCAAATTTGGCATACTACCTTCTAGACTAAAATCCGGTCGTATGTGCCAAATTCCATCACATTTAAATGGTAAATCGGACGAAGTTATATATCGGAGCTGTATCCAAATCTGAACCGATCTCGATAAAATTTAGCAAAGGTATTTCTGAGCTGCATTTGATATATTTTCCCAAATATTGTTGTTATAGAGTGCATATTACGGCTGCGGAGGACAAAAATAACAGATCGGATGAACAATATATACGGGAACTATAGCTATATCTGAACCGATTTCGATCAAATTTGGCATACTTATTTTCAGGTCCAATCTGATCGTAAGTGCAAAATTTCATACTATTCGAACTGGTATTACACGTTTGGTGCACAATAAAAGGCAAATCGGACGAAGATATATATGGGAGCTATATCTAAATTTTGACCGATTATCTCCAATTTCAATAGGGTTCGTCCTTGGGCCAAACAAATGATTTGTGCAAAATTTCATCTGCATAGGGCAATAAATGCGAACTGTACTTTGTTTACAAAAATACGTGGACAGACGGACGGACGGACATGCATAAATCGACTCAGAAAGTGATTCTATGCAGATCATCAAATGGAACTATGGCTCTATCTCGTTTCCATTTGCCTGTTGCAAACAAATACACAAAGACTCTTCATATTTCACACATTCCATTATTTCTACTAACACAAAATCTGCTGTGAAGATGGAATATATCGATACACTCCTTCTGGTACCTCCCCCACAAAGGGTCAACAATTCGAATATCCACGAAGCTCATAAAACGCGAAATTAACATCCGCTTCCATTCAGACTAGGCAAAGCTCAATATTTCTATCAACACTAGATTTGTTATAAAAAATGGTAGATATCGGACCATTCCTCCCCCACAAAGGGTCAAAAATTTGAATATCCGCGAAGCTCATAAAACATGATAAAAACAGACTATTTTGTGTCCTAGGCTGTAGTATCCATTAGAACTCCAAATTTTAAACAATTCCGGTGAATAATGTCGCTAAAATAATATAAACACCGAATATGAGGAGTACCATTATATGCGGGCTATATGCTATCGTGGGCAGATATAGCCCATCTTACTAACACCAAAGCTCTCTTTCAAAAACCACATTTTGGCAAGAAATAACTCATCCAAAAACTGTATAAACTCTACATGGAAATCCTTTTTGAATAAGCCCGATGTATCAATTACGTCAAAATGGAAACTGTTCTCAGCAGTTTGCAGATCAATCCAACAATATGGCGCGCAAATATGGGGATATACAAATTTTGAGGACGTAGACAAATTAGAAATTTACTTCTGGAAGAAAATATTAAAACTCCCAAATTTCACACCAACATACATATTAAGATTAGAAACCGACATGGAACATAGCCATATCCTCTCCTTGAAAACCCATTTGGATTATATCATTCGAGCCATATTTGATTACAATAGCGACCGATTACCTCACAAACTGGCGAAAATAGTTCTGCAAAAAGACATTTACTGGGCAAAGCATATTCTCTTAATGCAAAACAATATCGAACCATTTAATTTAAATAGTACCAAAAGCGAAGTTGTGGAAAAAAAAGATCACCTCCTAAAGACATTAGATTACAAATATTGGTGCGATGCCATAAATAGAGCCAATCAAACGACCCGAATTTACTCGAAGCTAGACCCATCAGTAGGTCAAACTTACATCAACTCGCTGTTAACGTCAGAGGAGAAAATGTGGATATTCAAAGCCAGAAGCGATATTATCAAACTTAATCTCAATAATATAGATGCAAATAGGAACCCACTCTGCTCCTTATGCAACTTGATGGAAGCTGAAAATCTTCAACATTTTCTTTGTAACTGCCCCATATTTAAAGAATTTAGAATTATGTTCTTCAAAAAGACACTGCTTAAGGAAGATGACCTTATAAATATTTTAAATGGATATATTGTAAATTGGAAATATGTCGCAAGTTTTATAAAAATTTGTACACAATATAGAAATCAGCTATTATCTGAATTTAACTTTTAAATCCCAATTTGTATTTTCAAACAATGTCTTAAAAAATAATAATAATAATAAAAAAAAAAAAAAAATTACAACATAAGCTACAGACAGACAGCCATAGGCTATTGTCTTATAGATATTATATATCTAATTTTTTATTTAATATTACATAAAAGTTTAATTTAATATTACATACACTGTAACGAATTTGAAATGTTTAAATAAAAAATACTCTACTACTACTACTATAGCCCATCTTCAAATTTGACCTGCCTGCACAAAAGATTGCCCTGTGCCAAATTTTAGCTTCCTTTCTAAATTCCTTTTGACTAATTTGTAATCACGCTATTACAACAGACGGACAGGGCTAAATCACCTTAGAATTTTATGCTGATTAAGATATATATTCTTTGTTGGGTCTTAACTTATTATTTCGATATGTATGATGGAGGGTATAACAATTATTTTATTTTCAAATTTTGAATGGAGATTTGAACTATTTTTATATATTGAAAGGATGGCAGCCCTGTTATCTAAACTCCTATTATGTGAATGAGTTCCATTGCAATTTGATACGGTTTCCTTCGCACATATATCGATGTTGTTGCTGTTGTACAGATTGTCGGCAGTTTTGTACCGTTAGCATAATGATAGTCGTCGTCGTCGTAGTAGTAGTAGTAGTTTTATACAATACACTCAGTTGTAGTAGCAAATCCCAAAATACAATAGGACAGTTATCACTCTTTGTCTCTCGCTCTCTGCAATGAGATGCTCAGAGACAGAGACTTTGGCAAATTGAATTTAACGGTAATACAAAAAAAAAAATGTACTCTACTCTTCTGTTAAGTTTACAAATGGAGACTTCAAATGAAAATAACGCTCTTTCACTCTCTTCTTGTTGTTACTGAATAAATCAAGGGAAAGAGCGTGAAATTTACAGTTTTTATGACTTTCCCTTTATTTCTATTTTTCTCTTGGAGACTTATTTGGAAAAAGAGAAAGACATTTTAGTATCATTATCTGTGAAGTGTTGAGTTAATTTTGTTTTTTTTTTTGCATTTCTCGTTATTTTTTTACATTTACCGTTACGCTGCTGTTATGTTACGCTTATGCGTAACATTCCAGTTATACATTGTTGTGCGAATAGTAGTAGTAGTAGTGGTAGAAAGTGTCCTTTGGGATAAAAAAAAAACGCCAGCCAATACTTTTTTGGAGTTTGGGCATATTGTGATTAATTGTTGTAGGTTATCATTATCGTATGATGTCGTTGTTGCTGGTGGTGGAATGGCCTCCAATCCACCACATCGTCAACTGAGTTATGGCGCAAAATTCCTTGAGAAAAAATGACAATATATCTGTCGCCAGACCAAATGAGATTTGTTCTCGTTGTTGGTGTTGCAAAATAAATGAGTCTTCG